TTTCCAAGTAGTGCCTGCTTCATAATACCCCAGTATGCGCAGATCGCTTGCTCTAATCATTTATTTATTGACAAACTTTGAAAGTTTCTGATTCCTTACTTCCTCCGGAACATCAAACATGTGCTGGGCGGTGTCCGCCTTGATGTAAGTCTGCGTGAGGTCCGCCTTGAGACGTAAGTCTCATCAATGAGGCTTTGTCAGCATCTGGGTGTTCAGTGTCCGGGCCCGGTGACTTTCCCACCGTATTTTGCCGTTGGTCTCGATTTGGACTCTTCTGCACTTTGTAAATATGCAGTCCCTCCCGGTCCTTGGTTCTCTGAACGAAAGACTTGGACAGATTCAACTTTTTGGCCACATCCCTGACCGAAGAAACGGGATTCCACTTAAACGCTTTCACGACACGCTTGTGATCCTGATCACTAATAGAACATCCATTCTGGCCGCATTTCTCCTTCCGTTGGATGCTCAGAGTTTCGTAGTAACGTTTAATCACACGACTCACCGTTGACTGCACGATTCCGAATTGTTTTCCGATGTCCCGTTGAGTGAAGTGAGGACCTTAAAAAAAAAATAATTCGCGGCGTTGCTTTTCGGGAGACGCAATTTTTATTTCAAGTTTCTAAAAACTGACAGCGATAAAAATACAGTGTCAACAATACACTCTAAACTACTTCTAAACAAATTTTCAAGAAATGGATAATTTTCTACAGCGTTTTTTTCCGTGATCCAATTTGATGTGGGACATCCTTTAATACTTTTTTTAGACTTTCCGGATAGTTGTGAACCGTTGGACGTGATCAGATAATTTGGATTGCAATTATCAAAAATTGTGAAAAGCTTTTAAGTCAAAAATTGTATGTTGCCAAAAATATTGGAATAATGTTTCACTCAATAATACCAGAGAGGTAACACTAAGACTAGAAGGTCCCGAAATAACGCGCTCAACTTTTTGGCTCAGCCCTGGTACTATCTTCGGTCCCAAGCTAATCGATGCACCCCTTGAAACATAGGAAAATCCACGAACCCCTCATTTTATCTGTCCAACTTTCATAGCGAATCAAAACAAACATTGTGTAGTACTGGAATTTATACAAGAATGGGATACGTTAATCGATTTGCTTGGGACCAATAGGCTAGTCAAGTAGTGAGCCAATTCAAATACTAATAATACTTAAGTCATATACATACTGTCAGATCAACCTGGTCTATACAAGGTGTGGAGATCTAACCCTCACGTATGTGTTAGTAGAGGGAAAAGGGTAAACATTGCCGGAGAGGCTGGTCACGACGTCATAACACTCGAAAGCAAATTTGCTAAATATGTACTACAGCAAATCGTAGCTATGTTTGCATTATGATTGCGCTTGACTGTATTCTTTTGTAAATTCTCCAGGAAATATCAGCTGGCATTTTGTATTTTATGAAAATTCCTCTCTTGAAAACGGGTACAAACTCACCGGCAGACTGCTTTTTCATGGTATACAGTTTGATAATACAATAAACAATAAATTATCTCAACATTCCGTGGTAGAACATTCATAAATTTTGGTTTCATACAGAAATGCTCATTGAAACAAACGTTATGACGTCACTACGAGCGTGCTTGAGCGTACGAAAGAAACGAATCGTGCGAAGCCGAATGGAAGCCGAGTGAAAAACGAACTAGAGACCAGGTTGCTGCCAAATACTGTTGTTTGCGCTTAATTCTCGATTCACTTTTCAAATAGACCAATGTAACAAATGTAAACAAATCGAGTTAAGCGATACAAACTATTGCTCTTCTATCATTGTATGTGATACAAAAACATCCATCCAAATTTACTTTCATTTATTTAAGATAACCATAGGTCAAAAATTGTCCAATGTACAGTTTGAAATGATGGGTACATGATTGTTACTTCGGTCATTCGGACTGCCTAACCTGATTGGTGCTCATTTTCTGAAGGTGGGGCCAACCTAAAGTTAGGTACTCTACTCTGAAATATGTGAAAGGGAATCTAGTATCATGTAGACAAAACGTCCAATGTAACACTCATTGATTATGTCAATGAGAAAAATCGTCCAATGTAACATGTTCGAAGTACAACTCGACTTGTCAAAACGTCCTATGTGGTTTTTTTTTCTATATTGTAGCATGAAATTCAAAGTAAAATTGTGATTTTACCGTTTCTAATGAATTTTCAACGTTATTATTCACTGACTACATTAAAAATGGTATTGCAAACTGTATTGTTTCTAAACAGTTAAAATAATAATCTGTTGAACTTCAACTTCGATTTTCTCAAAATGGTGGATATGTTACATTGGTCTATTTGAAAAGTGACGCGAGAATTCTTCGTTGCACACAGCGTAAATATTTACGATTGTTTGACAAAACTCAGGTAATCATGACAGATCCTGACCCAGTAGGTATCTTTTTCTCATGTGCGTTGTTTTCAAAGATCAAAATGTCATGATTACCTGAGATTTGTCAATCATGTAAATATTTGCAAGTCTTGTATTGAAGAATGGGGGTGGCAAACAACGAATCCGCAAAGAACGATACCCACAGCGAGGGGCACGCAATATTCTTTAACTCAAACGCAGGCAAGAGCTGTAATTAAATTAATTCCATTAATTACCGCTTTAACTAGAATAGTTGATTAGATCATTATTCCGGAAGGAAAGTGAAATTCCATTCGGAATGCGCCACCTTCATGTCGTTCACGATCCCAATGTAATCGATCTTTCCTTTACCGATTTCTTTTGAACTGCGAACTGGATCAAGAAATGCTAAGGAAAAGTAATTTCTTTAGCATTCCGTGTCCTATCCCGTAGCACGTAAAAACGTCATTACTTTTCAGCTGCGTGCCAGGCTTTAGACCAAAATGTCTGTGTCATTGGATTCAGGTTTAGTACGCCGCTAGAGGCACTTTATTTTCATATTACTTAACCCATTAACGCCTGAATTATTTCAAATTCATAATAAAAACGTGATTTTTTATGGAGAATTTTGCAATAGTCTAAGAATTATTTTAACGCCATTTAAATTAAAATCTACGGTCATAATTTGGTATAAAACACGCTATGCTCCTAAAAATATTAAATATGCTCCTAAAATGAATTAATCATAATTTTTTAGTGTGCTTCGATACATTTGAAGGTAATAAATTGTAACTGGGGCTGTTCATAAACTACGCAGACACTTTAGGCGAGAGGGGGTGTCTGCGGTCCATTCAAATTTTCAAAACAATGTACGGACGATTGTCTACGCAGGATGAAGGATGGGATCCTCTGAAAACGGTCTACGTAGTTTTTGAACAGTATCTTCCGTATTTGTAGAGCTTCGTGGGAACTCTTCACATCTGGTAGAACATAAGTTGCTTAAGAAAAATATCTTGGGTTCTCCAAAGTGCCTAGAGTTGAGATCTGATGTTCTACAGATTCAACGAGGTTTTGTGCGATGTCCAGACATTTATTACGAACCTGGAGAGCTTCGTGGAGACGCATTATCTCATGAGGAATGCATAGTTGTAATGCTTCAACAAGCTCAGCAAAGTATTGTACACAGAAAAAAATTCTGAATTTTAACTATCGCGTAAAATCTCCCTTCGTTTAATTTTGAGCTATACTTGGCATAAACAGCGAAATCGTTTGCCAGCTTGCATACAATACTGCAAATTTATGAGATATTGCGTTTAAATTTACACGAAATATCGCGTAAATTTATGCCAAATCTAGCGTTACAGAAATTTACATGAATTTTTCGAACGGTGAACGATGTTCAGATTTATTATACATATAGGTAAAATATCTTTGATTCTCCAAACGACCCTGGAGTTCAGATCTTGATGTTCTATAGGCTCAATGAGGTATTCGGATTGTACATCATGCGGTATAGTTTTAACGGCAAAGTATTTCGGGGTATTCTACTTATCCTGGTTTATCGATCTTGATGATGTACAGTAGGGTGGGGCTTATTTTTAAAAACCGTTCGGGGACATGTTTTCCCTTTATTTCGCTCTCTCGTTTTCTACCTCTATAGGCCGGCGCCGCTGGTGTAGTAGTAAGCGTGACTGCTTTCTCACCCCAATGGATCTGGGTTCAATCCCAGCCGAGGTTCTGAGGCATAAAAATCTCTGGTTCACGTCTTCCTTCGGAAGGGAAGTAAAGCCGTTGGTCCCGGCCCATGTTGAATGGGTGCGATATCGTACGCAGGTGTGTAAAGGTGCCTTCCTGCACATTCAATTACCGTCAATGGATGGCAATCGATGTCCATCGGTGATTGGCACTAGATTGCGGAAGAGAGACCGACGTTAAATAAAGGAAAAAAAGTTTTCTACCTCTCTCACTTTCTCTCTCTCTCTCTCTCATAGACTTCCCTGACGTTTGTGAATAGCACAAGTATTAGTGCAAAACTTTGGGTAAGGTTTTCTAGCACTAATACTTATAATTTACCCGAGTTCTGCACTAATACTCATACATTTCACAAACGTCAGAGAAGTCTATTCTCATATTTACTCACGCTGCATCTATCAATGGACAAAATTTTCGCCCATGAGGGTCAAAAAATCACGTGTTTACTTATAGAAGCATATATTTATTTTAAAAAACTCATCGTTCGTCATTTCGAACTTAGACCCCTTGCGCCACCTACAAATATCGACGAAAATCGCTCAATTTTTGATATGTTACTTAATTAGTCCCAATAATCATTTTCCACATGGGAAAACCTGTCCCCGAACGATTTTTAAAAATAAGCCCCTCCCTAATGTACAGGCTAATGTCCTGATTTATTATTCCGATTGTTAGAGCTTTGTGGGACCTCATCACATCGTGATGGACATAAATCGAGCGAAAGCGGAAAATCTCTATACATTTGCAAATTCATAACTACCAAAACCATACATCTCAAGGTGGTTGACCATTTACTGTCTGTCTACTGCCTTATCTACTGGTGGCAGAACCTGGGCGGGGTATCAAACAGTTTGAGAAACGAATTTCAAAGTTAGAAGCTATTTATTTTCGATAACACAATCTCACTCTCAAGTTTTAATCATAATCTATCGATTTCGTAAACATTTTATATCGATAAACAAAATCGCAAAAATCCCCTTCACACTGGGATTAACTTTCAATCATCCTTATCGCATGGCCGGCGCAGACGTCGATAACGACCTTATCTCTAATTTATAAAATTTCACTCCATCACGATGGCATCCACCTGGGCACCTTCGCCGATATGGACGAACCGCACCGAGGCATACGGTTGCCGGTGGGCAAACTCGCAGAAGTGGCACCCGTTCACCGCTATGCTGTAGGTGTCCGGTTTGACCGTGATCTGGATATCGAAGTAGGATCGCTTCTGGATGGGACATCCTCCGTGCCGTTCCTCGATTCCCCAGCTTTTGAACTGGTAGGTGTTACGCACGATGACCTGATCCCTCGGTCGAATGCTCATGTGCAGTGGGGCGTCGTCGCGGGGGTTCACATTGGGACCGGACTGGAGATTGATGTTGAACCTGGAAAGAGGGTAGAATGATGGACGTTAGGACATGGCGAAAAACTAACTGCAGTCGTCTGTGTTGAGCGTTTATTTAGCCTAACTTAGGTGAATATTTAAACAAAATTTCGGGTATAGAACTGTATTTGTCTGATGAAAGTAGTAAATCATGGATAATGTAGGAAGTAGTGGACTTAACTTCGGGGTAAGGTATATATAGGATCCAAAAAGACCTAAACTTACTTTAGAAGCCATCTTGCGTCTTTCGAAAATACTTTGGATTTGTCATCAAACGTCTTTTTGGACCTTATACTTTGACCTTACCAATCCTCGATGCAGCAAGTGAAAAACTATAGAGAAATCTAGGCCATTTTCTGCATAAGTTCTGGAGACTTTTTAAGTAAGTCGAATGTTACAGCTGTTGAAAGACTGAGGTCGTGAGAGCAAATTTTCTCTCTCAAATTTGAATTTGTTGGCTCTCTGGGGAATGGTAGTAACGCAGGTAAAACTGTATGGGGAAAAATCGTTTTCATTTAATTGTAGCTTGTTAAACAATAATTTCCGGGAAAAAAGTGAACGATAAAGTCCCTGACTAATTTCTTTAGATTGTCATTCACTTTTTTTGACCTGAATATACACAGAAAACGAATTATTCCCACTTCTCTCAATTTCTATATGGTGATTTTTATTACTTCATACGAGCGGAACAGCGCCATCTCTGTGGAAAATGCTCGGACGAAATGATTAATACGGTTAATAAAATTTTCTTCTAGCAGACTATGTAGACGAAATAGCCCGAAATATTAATGCAGCCAACGAAAGAGAGAATCGATGAAGAGAGTCGGTCAATGTAGATAGGACATATTGAAAAGTGACACGAGAATTACATTATGGTACGGTGCTCTCTGAAAAATGTTCACGCCCGATTTACGTGAAAACATAGGTGGTGTTCATCCACCCTACTTTTTCACGTAACTTTTAACGTGATTAGTCAGGTGAATAGGACATGATTTCCATGTACTTCTTATGTAAAATTGCTGTAAAAAGGCAACACCTGGTAAATGTTACGCTAGTAGAAAACTTAAGGACTACTTAATAGACATATAATATAGACAAAATAATTTCTTTTCAGATTTTATGTGTAGACATAGATTTCAGCTTTTCTACAACTGTAGCAACAACCAGATTTGAATAAAATGCTCCATTTTCAAAATAAAAGCATTTTAAGATTGCACTCGTATACCTCTCTGTGGAAAATTTTGAAACCATCATCACTGTCATAGTTCTTCTATTCTCCACGAGTGCCAACTTTGATTTGCCAATAGGGGACATGAGGTAGTTTAGCCACCTTAAGCAAATCATAATACAAAATTCAGTGAAAAATTCATGGATATTTCCAAGCCCCATATACATCATGAATACAAATTGACCACCCATACACCACAGCAGACGGAATCGCAAATCGACCACGTTCTGATTGATGGACGGCACTTCTCCGACATTATCGACGTCAGGACCTATCTTGGCGCTAACATCGACTCTGACCACTACCTGGTGATGGTCAAACTGCGCCCAAAACTTTCCGTCATCAACCATGTACGGTACCGACGCCCGCCACGGTACAACCTAGAGCGACTGAAGCAACCGGATATCGCCTTAGCATACGCGCAGAAACTCGAGGCAGCGTTGCCAGAGGAGCTCGATATGCTCCATCTAGAGGACTGCTGGAGCGAGATGTTTTTAAGACAGGTGGGCAGGAACTCACGGTCTCCCAGTGTTGGTGAGTTCTTTGCCGTTAATGTTTACGAAAATCACTATTTTTCCATACAGAAATTCAAAACAAAATTTTTTATCTGCGGATTTGGACAGTCTATGACCTGTTTCATACGACCGGAAGGTGTATGCTGGTTACAAATGCCGTGCCAAACTGATTTCCTACGCAATTAATCAATCTTTGATGTGAATTTCGCTAATAAACACGAGGAGGATTTCTTATAGCAAAACTTGCGGTTCATTTTAGTAAACAAACTAACACTTCTTCCGATTGTGGCACCTCTCTTACTCGCCTAGCTGCTGGATTACAGTAAAAGTAGCCATCACCGACGCAGTCGAGAGCACCATCGGGTACGTGGAAAGAAGTCGACTGAATGAATGGTTCGACGAGGAGTGCAGAGCGATTTTGGAGGAGAAGAACGCAGCGCGGGCGGTGATGCTGCAGCATGGAACCCGACAGAACGTGGAACGGTATAAACAGAAGCGTAAACAGCAGACCGCCATCTTTCGGGAGAAAAAACGCCGCTTGGAAGAAGCGGAGTGCGTTCCCAAGAAACACGGAAGTTCTACCAAAAGCTCAACGCATCCCGCAATGGCTTCGTGCCGCGAGCCGAAATGTGCAAGGATAAGGACGGGAGCCTCTTGACGGACGGACGTGAGGTGATTGAAAGGTGGAAGTAGCACTTCGATGCGCAGCTGAATGGCGAGGAGAACGCAGGCACGGGAGACCAGCGCAATGGAGGAAACGACTACGTCGGTGCAGCAGAGGACGGAACTGACCCAACTCCCACGCTGAGGGAAGTTAGGGATGCCATTCAGCAGCTCAAAAACAACAAAGCAGCTGATAAGGATGGTATCGCAGCCGAACTCATCAAGATGGGCCCAGAAAAGTTGGCCACCTGCCCGCACTGGATAATAGTCAGGATCTGGGAAACAGAACAGCTACCGGAGGAGTGGAAGGAGGGGGTAATCTGCCCCATTCACAAGAAAGGCGACCATTTGGAATGTGAGAACTTCAGAGCGATCACCATTTTGAATGCCGCCTACAAAGTGCTATCCCATCGTCGTCTTCCGTCGTCCATCACCTAAAATGACCGAGTTCGTGGGAAGTTATCAAGCCGGCTTCATCGAAAGCCGATCGACAACGGACCAGATCTTCACAGTACGGCAAATCCTCCAGAAATGCCGTGAATACCAGGTCCCAACGCACCATTTTTCATCGACTTTAAGGCGGCATACGACAGTATCGACGGCACAGAGCTATGGAAAATCATGAACGAGAACGGCTGTGCTGGGAAGCTGATCAGACTGATCAAAGCAACGATGGACGATGTGCAAAACTGCGTAAGGGTTTCGGGTGAACTATCCAGTTCATTCGAATCTTGCCGGGGACTGCGACAAGGTGACGGACTCTCATACCTACTCTTCAACGTCGCTCTAGAAGGAGTAATGCGACGAGCGGGGCTTAACAGCCGCGGTACGATTTTTACGAAATCCGGTCAATTTGTGTGCTTTGCGGACAACATTTGGAACGGTGGCAGAACTATACACCCGCCTGAAACACGAAGCAGTAAAGGTCGGACTGGTGATGAGTGTGTCAAAAACAAAGTACATGCTAGTAGGCGGAACCGAACATGACAGGACTCGTCAAGGAAGTAATGTCACGATAGACGGGCATACTTTCGAGGTAGTGGAGGAATTCGTTTACCTTGGATCCTTATTGACAGCTGAGAACAATGTGAGTCGTGAAATACGAAGGCGCATCATCAGTGGAAGTTGTGCCTACTACGGGCTCCAGAAGAAACTACGGTCAAAAAAGATTCACCCCCGCACCAAATGTACCATGTACAGAACGCTAATAAGACCGGTGGTCCTCTATGGACACGAGACATGGACTATACTCGAGGAGGACCTGCAAGCACTCAGAGTTTTCGAGCGACATGTGCTAAGGACGATCTTCGGCGGTGTGCAGGAGAACGGTGAGTGGCGGCGAAGAATGAACCACGAGCTCGCTGCACTCTACGGCGAACCCAGCATCCAAAAGGTGGCCAAAGTCGGAAGGATGCGGTGGGCAGGGCATGTTGTAAGAATGCCGGTCAACAACCCTGCAAAGTTGGTGTTCGCTACTGATCCGGTTGCCAAAAGAAGGCGTGGAGTGCAGAGAGCACGATAGGCGGACCAGGTAGAGCGTGATCTAGCGAGCATTGGGCATGACCGAGGATGGAGAGCGGCAGCGTACTATTGTTGATTATGTCTTATCTTAAATCTCGATGAACATTTCAAATGGTCCTATCTGCTTTGAACGATTCGCTTCATCGACTTTCTCTTTTGATAACCACTGCTATGCAAACAGGTTTTGCGCTATTTTCACCTCATAGTTTGTTAAAGGAGGTTCTTATCTAGCGTCCAAAACGTTAAATACAACAGGAAAAGGTTGCCGGCACCGGTGGTTTAGTGGTAAGCGTGACTGCTTTCTAACACCCCAATTGGTCTGGGTTCAATCCCAGCCGAGGACGGTGGGATTTTTCTGAGGCATAAAAATCTCTGGTCACGTCTTCCTTCGGAAGGGAAGTAAAGCCGTTGGTCCCGGCCCATGTGTTGTTGAATGGGTGCGATATCCTACGCAGGTGTGGAAGCTGCCTTCCTGCACATTCGATTGCCGTCAATGGATGGCAATCGATGTCCGTCGGTGATTGGCACTAGATTGCGGAACAGAGACCGACGTTAAATAAAGGACAGAAGAAAAAAAACAGTGAAAGGTTATGCAGCTGAGTTATTAACCAAAGAGAAAGTCGACAAAGAGAATCAATGCAGATAGGACCTTTTGAAATGTTTATCTAGAAATGTGATGTTGTACAAATAAATCTCGATAAACATTTCAAATGGTCCTATCTGCTTTGATGGATTCTCTTCATCGACTTTCTCTTTCGTTAATAACTCAGCTGCAAAACCTTTCCCTGTTGTATTTGATGTTTTGGTATCAAACTATGTGGTAGAATTAGCGCGAAATCTGTTTCCATAGCAGTGGTTATGAAAAGATAAAGTCGATGAAGAGAATCGATCAAAGCAGATAGGACCATTTGAAATGTTCATCGAGAAATGTATGTATGTATGTATGTATGTATGTACAAATTGAATATAAAAACTAAACTTTTGACTCTTTTGAAAAAATGATTAAAAATGTTCATTTTGTAACCGGAATACAACCGTTGGGGCTCGCAAAATAACTGGTAAATAACCGGTAATATTATTCTGTTCTCATGAAGATTTCTTACGAATCAAAGCGGTTAGTTGTTAGGAACTACCGATAAATCTTTTTTTCTAATTCAGAAATCTTACAAAATCTTTGACATTTTGAGCTAGTCTAACACTTTTCGAACATTCGCAGTAGAGAACAGTAAATTTTTAGGCTTAAATTAAATTAAAAGTTCCAGTAGGCTGCAAGAGATTTTTGTAAAATATATTCCATTAGTTGGATTAGGGGGATGGCTACATTACTCCTATGGCGAAACTGCCCCACTTTCCCCTAATATAAGTCGAACATTTGAACTTTTTACGATTAAATTTAAAATCAAGCTAATCTGACAATTTTCACACACACCCACACACACACACACACACGCGCGCGTGCGCTCGAGCCCAATCGCAGACCACTAGGGTGAGTCAAGTCCCAAGTAACATTGCAAGTTTTATGGAGGTTATTTAAAATTCTACAAGTCCTACATCATGATCTACAGAACCCTCATAAAACCAATATTGTTACTTGGGGTTTGTATGGTTCATCACAACGCCCTGTTCCCTATTGCTCTTCCGATGTGAATTAAGGTTCCCAACAACGGTGTCTGGATTTACGGGAGCATATTAAATTTTGTATAGGAAAATGCAGGAGATTTTTGTAAAATAAATTCCATTAGTTGGATTAGGGGGATGGCCACATTACTCATATGGCGAAACTGCCCCACTTTCCCCTAATATAAGTCGAACATTTGAACTATATACACACTTAGAAATTATCGCCGACTTCGGTAATTTTTACCGAAATCTGAACAGCTGAACTGTTTGGTAAAATTTATGCAATTCAGTTCAAATGCTTTTCAGCTACTTTGAAACTAAATCTCCACCAAAATGACTAGATTTGATCATTTAAACAAGGTTGAACACGTTTTAAAAATTATTTTCAAATTCAATAGCCTTTAAAATGAAGGTCGAAGTTTTACCGAACATTCAGCTGTTCTGATTTCGGTAAAATTTACCGAACACGGAACCAAAATCTTAGTGTGTACGATTAAATTTAAAATCAAGCAGATCTGATAATTTTCAAACACACCCACCCACACACACCCACACACCCACACACACAATCACACCCACACACACACATGCGGGGGGGGGGGGGGAACTAAATAAACCTATTCATTTGCTTGCCGAAAATTAAAAAAATGTTCAAATTTCATTAAATCTCTCGTCAAATCTCGGACTTTGATTGAGAATACTATGCAAAACAACATTGTCGAAGACTGCAAATCGATTAGACTGCAAGAAAAAATGTTATTATACTCATTTAGAACAATTGCTCAACGCATACCTACAGGCGTATATATGAGATTGTAGGTAGGTACGTGTGGAACACTTGATGTAAAGTGAAAGATTAGTAACTTGTTGCACAAAGATAAATCGATTTGCAGTCTTTGACAAAATTGTTTTGAATAGTATTCTCAATCAAAGTTCGATTTATGGTAAGCAAATGAATCTCTTTCGTTTCCCATACATTTTCCTATACACAATTTAAAAATTCGTTCAAATTGTACACACTTGTTGGGGACCTCAATACCCAAGGAAAGAGCAGTGGCGAACAGCGGGTTGTAACGTTGACCCACCTTACTGACCACATACCTGACCGTTTGAAATGCCTAGGTAAAATTCCACTTACTGGTCATGAGTCATCTTTCCGCGAATGACCACCTTACGATACAGTCCGAGTCCGGCCGGCATATATCCGAGGAAGGGAGATGGCTGTGCAAAACGAGAATCGAACGATCAATGATAATTCAGTTTGTAGAAGGATATCAATGACACTCACTGGATTGTACACTGGTAGCTGAGACATTTTGATATACGTGCACTACTAACAACTAGGACTGCGTCGGACAATAGTGGGAAACCCGGTAATGCACACTTCAACTTGAAGAATGACACTGAACGCGACTCGCGGACCAACGTACGGTGATATAGGGAATATTTTTGTTCGGCGGCGCTGGCAGGTCCGTACAAAGATTTATGCGATCAATTTTGATAACGATTTGAATGATAAGCTATCGACGGTGACGCTACCAGCATACTACTACAAGCTCAGTTTCAGTTTATTCAAAACCCATAAAGCTGGTCCGACCCAAAGACAGGTGCTCTGTATTCATTCTATAAACATTCCTGATAACATTTAGCAATACTGGTATCGGGCGGGTGCGTTGAATGTAAATAGAGAATGATTTCATTCCAGTTGTGCTGACTCAAATTGCTTCAACTTTTTTGCAAAAGTAAGTTAAATGAATTTACAGGATTTTAAGAAAGTACCGTCAATTTCGCAGATGATTCAATTCTACACTCTCGCAATTCATTGTCGTGTTTGGTAATGTTTTACCGAAATCTCAACTGCTGAACGTTCGGCTAAACTTTGACGTTCTGTTGAAAGCCTATTTGCCTCAAAAATAATGTCACAGCACGTGCAATCTTGTTAAAAATGATTAAATCTTGCAATTTCTATTGGAGATTTTGTTTTAAAATAGTTTTAATACAATTTCCAGCTGTTGAGATTTCGGTAATAATTATCGAAGTCGGCGATAATTTCTAATAATAAAATTAAAAAAAAAAAATTGTGTCTGAAGCACGACCGCATTACACTAATGGAAATTAATATAAGGACACTTTAAAAAGCATGGCTTCTCCCAATTTAAAGAATCAGAGGAATTCTTAATCATATACGTTGTGAAGTTACATTTTGATTCTACAATATGAGCCTAAGAAAGAACCAATTGCATCATGTACGTAGGAGAAATAAATGGAGTTTTGGTTTTCTCCTTCGGAAACAAATATAAGGATTTGTATGAGGAATTGGTCATTATCGAAACATTATTTAGCATGTCAACAACATGACACCAAAATAATCAAAGAGTTAGTTCAAATAATCATTGTACACTTTACTTCTGAAAAGTTTTAAGCAGATCCAATCGCTCGAAGTTCTCAAAAATCACAAAAATCAGTGGATGATCAGCGATGATCACATAGGAGATACATACATTTAGGCGTTTTGCGAACTAGTTTCTGTGTATCCATGTCGATTAAATTCGAATGTTCTAGGGGAAATGGATGTAATGTCGGTCTAAATGCTCCTAATTTGGGCCCATACATACATTCAGCAACTGTCTAAATTTTCAATAGCGATCAAAGATATCCATTAGTATCGTCCCAATGACGCGTACATTTAGATAAAAATGATAAATAGAAGATTTTTAGTGGTGGGCCCAATCTTAGATCCATAGGCCAACATTAGAGCCATTTTCCCTGTGTTCTGTCGGGTATCGTCGAATGAGGATCAAGATATGATCACTTTTTACAATGCAACTGTCGTATTAAACTACCTACATTAGACTAGTTCATGTATTTGATTCACAATTCTGATTGTGATATATTTGCACTCTGTGAAACTTGGCTTTCTTCTGAACATGAACTAAACTTCCACGATTTTAAAATTATCCGCCTGGACCGGAATGATTCACATGGTGGCGTACTTTTGGTGATCAAAAAGTGCTACTTCTTCTATAAAATCTCAATCCCAATAATTTCAGGAATTAAAATTGTCGCTTGTCAAATAAATGTGAAGAACAAAGATCTTTGTATAGCTTCTGTATATGTCCCTCCAAGGACTTCCATAAATCGCCGTCAGCTTTGGGGTACAGTTACTATTCTCCCATATCCAGTTCTAATACTGGGCGATATGAACTCCCACGGTACTGGATGGGGCGAATCATACGATGACAATAGAGCGGGTATTTTCTAGATTCTCTGCTTGATCGTCAAGCAGTTCAGTTCGGTGCTAGCTCGCTCTCTCGAGTTGTTCGGAAAGTTCGTTGTGATAGTGTTCGCGCTCTCTCGTTCGCGGTTTTTTGTGTGCGTGCCCCGAAATGGGGACGCATCGCTCGCAAATCCCGGTGAAGGAAACTCGGGTGTACCTACAGCGAACAGGTTTACTGTTCTTCCCATCGATGGGAATACCCAATCAGCTATGACTGAAAAGTGCAGTAAAAAGAGGAAGAAGAATCGAGGCCAGTCCGATGGCACGATTGGTCGCGACGATGTTACCGCGACAAACGTCAGCTGTATCGGCGATTTCGGTATCGCTGATGAATCCGAAAATGCCAGCCCAAATGCGGCAAACGTCAAACTACCACCGTTGGTAGTGAAAAATGCACCTCTAAACACGCTCATCGCCCATGAGCATTAAAGCTTAGTTCAAACTCAGTATAATCTCAGTAATCTGGGTACTGCGGAGTAAATCGATTTCATTTTGCAAGCCAATGGAAAACTGCTTGAAAATTTGTTCAAGTTTAAAATTGTTTTGTTCTTTCTCAGTTGATTCCCGCCAAAAGCTCTGAGCCAGGCGTGCTCGAGCCCCCTTGACTCTGTCAAAGTTTGTTTACATACATGTTTCGCCAAAGTATGTTTTACTGCAATTGAAAACTCAAACTTGATTTTCGCCGCACTCGGGCCGCCAGAATTCTCGGTTTCGACGGCATCGCCGAAATCACCGATGTCGCTGGCGTTCGTCGCGGTAACATCGTCGCGTCCATCGTACCACCGGACTGTCCTTGGTTCTTCTTCCTCTTTTTCGTCCGCTTCACCGGGACTGGGTTGGTATTCCCAACATCGGTGGGAAGAGTAGCGTACCTATTTGAGGTAGGTACCGAGCTACCCTCACCACTTCAACTCAACATTCTCTGCTTGATCGTCAAGCAGTTCAGTTCGGTGTTAGCTCGCTCTCTCGAGTTGTTTGAAAAGTTCGTGGCGATATTGTTCGCGCTCTCTCTTTCGCGGTTTGTCGTGCGTGTGTGTGTGCCCCGTAATGGGGAAGCATCGGTCGCGAAGCCCGGCGAAGGTCCAGAACTCCGGTGAAGGAAGCTCCGGTGTGCCTACCTCGAACAGGTTTGCTGTTCTCCCCATGGATGGGAATATCCAGCCGGCTGTGTTGGAAAAACGCAGCAAGAAAAGGAAGAAGAACCGAGGCCAGTCTGATGACACGATTGGTCGAGACGATGCCTCTGCGTCCTGCGACGAACGGAGATTTCGGTGACGCTGCCGATAAAGAAAATGCTGCTGATATGAGCGCGGCAAGAGTGAAGCTACCTCCGCTGGTGGTGAAAAATGCCCATCTCAACAAGCTCATCGCGAATCTGGCGTCGCTGGGCGCCAAAGCCGAATTCAAATTGGGCAGAGTCGGCACCAAGTTGGTGCTCCGTACCAAAGCGGAGTATGACTTGGTCATCGCCCACCTGAGGACTTCCAAGGTGGAATTCTTCACCCACGACATCCCCGGTGAAAAACCGTTCAAGGTCGTCATCAGGGGCCTACCAAATTTCGACCCGAAGTTTATCGAACATGAAATCAGGGACAGGTACAAGCTGGCCCCAAGTGCCGTGTACCGAATGACAAGAAGAGACGAGAATGTGAAGGCGTACCCGGATAGCCTTTTCCTGGTACACTTCCAGAAGGGAACGGTGACGCTCAATGCACTCAAAGCCATCCGGTCCATCAATTCCATCATCGTTCGCTGGGAGCCATACCGTGGCGGCCATCGCGATGTGACTCAGTGCCAGCGGTGTCTGAACTTCGGACACGGTACCCGCCACGCTGCGGAAATTGCGCTCAAGACCATGCCACCTCCGAATGTGCTGCGGATGAAGCTGTGGCGTCCAAATGCGCCAACTGTGGTGGTGCTCACCAAGGATCCAACAAGCAGTGCCCTAAACGCGAGGATTTCAAGCGCATCCGAAATCAAGCGTCCACCAACAATCAACCAGCACGAAGGAAGGATAAGGCCCCGGCTTTCAGGACGGAGGACTTTCCGCCTCTTCATGGACAAGCGAATCCCAGGGTGCGATCCGCGCCCCCTCAAGAAACGTCTGGATCTTCTGCTGGACAAAGCTCTCCATCCCCCCCTGGATTCTGGAGGCAACCAACAGCTCAAACAAATAATCCCGATCTGTTCTCAGCAGATGAACTTATGGAGATTTTTATCAACATGACCGGTGCTCTACGTAAGTGCCGCAATAAGCCCGAACAGATCCAAGTGCTCGGTAAGTTCATCATCCAATATGGTGTCTAAACCGCTAACCATCGCTACCTGGAACACTCGCTCTGTAAGAGCTAAACAGATTGAGCTTGCCGACTTCCTCCGCAAGCATAGCATCGACGTGGGTCTTCTAACGGAAACCCACCTAAAGTCCGGTGGCAGCTTCTGGTTGCCTGACCACAACATTATCCGGCTTGATCGCACCAGCTCCAGGGGGTGGTGTAGCGGTCATAGTCAGAAAGGGAATCAAGTTTTGCACTCTGCCCCACATCCGCACTTCTATCATAGAAGCCATTAGTGTGGAGGGGGAAACACCAACTGGAAACGTCCGGTTTATAGCAGTTTACTGCCCACGTCAGTGTACCACAAGCAACGGCCTAGACATCCAATTCAAGAACGACCTGACCGCCATCACTCGTACTAGCTCCCGATTCATCGTTGGGGGCGACCTGAACGCCCGCCATGAAGCTTGGCGGAACTACCAGCGGAACCGGAACGGATGTCTATTGTTCGACCACGCACAACATGGACTGTACACTGTGCAATTTCCGGACGAACAAACTTTCTCTCCGACGGGAAATCCCTCCACGCTGGACTTCTTCCTGTCGAACATCGGACTATCCACGCCGGAGGCGCACAACGATCTCAGCTCCGACCACCAACCGGTGGTGACTGAAGTCGGTGTCAACGTGGTTCCTGCTAGAAGCTGCCTGCGTAAAGACTACCACCATGTCAACTGGGTGCAGTACGGTCGAATGGTGGACAGCAACATCGATGAAAATCCACTGCTCGACACCGTAGATGACATCGACCGGGCGTTGGAAGGACTCCAACAGGCCATATCCGAGGCTGACGAGACATGCGTTCGACAAGTTCCTGTGAGGGGTAAGTTTGTTGCTATTGATTCCCACACCCAATTATTGATTCGATTGAGAAATGTGCGTAGACGCCAGTTTCAGAGGACTGGAGACCTGGGCAAAAAACGTGAAATGGCCGATCTGAACAGGCAGATTGCTTCCAGAATGGACTCACTCCGAAATGAAAGTTTCGGGCGTGTTGTCCAGAATCTGGACGACCGCTCCAGACAATTCTGGAAGGTAGCCAAGGTTCTGAAAACTCATTCCAAAAACCCGTTCCACCTCTCAGAGTCGAAAATGATGACGATCGGCTTTTAATCACCCCACAGGAGAAAGCAAATGCGATCGGCAAGCATGTCGCTTCATCGCATTTGCTTGGCTCGACTATGCGTTCAAAACCTAGATGCCTCCCCTTGTGCCGTGCCTCCGGTGGATATGATTACAGTACAACAGATTTGCTCAGCGCTGAAATGCACCAAGAACATGAAAGCTCCCGGGTTTGACGGTATATTCAACTTGATCTTGAAGAGACTCAGCATGAAGGTGCAGTCTCTTCTAACCACTATCTTCAACAGATGCTTGGAACTACACTACTTTCCAAGGATCCAACATTGCCTTCAAGCTACAGACCAATCAGCCTCCTTTCAGCGCTGAGCAAATTGTTCGAGAAACTCATTCTCAATCGTTTGCTCAAGTTTGTGGAGGAAAATAACATTCTCCTTCCGGAACAGTTTGGTTTCAGAAAGGGGCACTCCACCAATCACCACCTAGTACGGGTGATGAATAACATCCGAAGTAACAAAGCTGTATCCAAGTCCACAGCCATGGCCTTGTTAGACGTTGAGAAAGCGTTTGATAATGTCTGGCACAATGGGCTTGTATTCAAGCTTTGTAACTTCAACTTTCCATTACATCTGGTTAAAATCACCCGTAACTACCTCCAGCAAAGGTCGTTTAAGGTATCGTTGAATGGTTGTCTTTCCGACACGTTTTCCATCCCAGCAGGAGTCCCGCAAGGCAGTCTGCTGGGCCCCTTGCTTTACAGCATTTACACTTCCGACATTCCTCCCCTTGGTGACGGTTGCGTGTTTTTCCTGTTCGCAGATGATACCGCAATAGCCGTCAAAGGAAGGATGCCTCGCGAAATAACGAACAAACTTCAATGATGCCTTAACGCCTTTGCTGATTATGCCACCACGTGGAAAATTAAAATCAATGCCTCCAAAACACAAGCGATCATGTTCCTCCACCGGCAATCGCCGAAACTGAAACCGGCTTCATCTTGTACTGTAATCATGGATAGCACAAGGGTTGAGTGGTCTGCCGAAGTAACCTATCTCGGGATGTTGTTCGATGAAAAGCTTCTCTTCCGTTCGCATGTGGAGAAAACAGTAGTCAAGTGTTCTGTCTTGGTTAGGTGTCTGTATCCGCTGATTTGCCGCAGATCCCGCCTCTCAAGGGTGAACAAACTGCCTGTCTACTATCAAATCATAGCACCTGCGATCCTCTACGCAGCTCCGGTGTGGGAATCATGTGCACAGACTCACAGGAACAAGCACCTCAGCACTGACAAACTTGTCGGAAAAAGGCGGCCTATATCCTTAACGGTGGCAGCAACTTTTCCGTTGAATTCCATAAACGATGAGAGGCCGGGTTCCCTGCGTTGCTCGTTCACGTAGTTCCAAAAAGATTTCGGGTGTAGATTTACGACTGACTCGCTGGTACATGTGATTCAGCCTCACATAATGTAGTTTCAGAGGAAGCGTGCGATACTTCGTAAATCTTCTCAATGCTGCTCTCTTGATTGACTTCAACCTACGTAGCTCTCTCGTCTGCCAGGGAAGTGTCTGTCAATGACATATGTCAAGACATGTGAAAAGGTTTGCGCTGCAGCCTCAACGTCATCTGGATCAAGGATGTTCTCCCATACCATGCTAGACAATACATCTATGTTGCTACGGTGGTCAGCTTTACGGAAGTCATAAGAAACCGTAGCAGGATAATCGTCGAAATCACGCACGAGTTTGTCCTCAACAGTGACAATTAGAGGAGGGTGATGTAGAACTAGCTTAGTTAGTGCACAAGGACCCGAGGAAATTAATGGAGCCCTGTCCTGTGTGCTCACGAAGCAGAGGTCCAAACTTTCGATTGGGTGCAGCTCCGGCGAGTTAGGAGGGTTTTGTCCTTGGGTACGACTTGCACGTTGTTGGCGGTATACCATTCTTGAGCTATTTTCCCGTAGTGACAGGAAGCGAGGTCTGGAACTACTGTGTTTCTTCAAAAAAAGGCAACAACCGTGTTTGCAAACATTTCTTTTGATAAATATCTTGGTTGAAATCGCCATCGCCATATGATAGCTAGTCCCAAACATCTTCTGTTGATTCTCTGTGTAATTACAGGTGATCTGGCAGTAACGGAGTAGCAATCACAGACGGTCAATCATTCTCTCATGCTAATGCTCATTATATCATTGGAATATTTTTATTGTAGTACGAGTTGATTCCATGTTCGGTTTCTTCGGCCTTATCAAGGGTTGAAATTGCTGCGCACGCTCCGCATCATTGCATTTCTATAGTACCAAGCTTGAATCATCAACTGATTAGATAACAATTGCTTCCCAAAGCACTCCTTTCAACAAAGACTATTTATAGTCATTGTTTTTTTTGTAATATACTGCAACTGCACAGCATATTTTAAAGCAGAACCAAGTATACAGTTGGGTAGTTAGGTTTAATTGTGATTCCTAGATTAACAGATGGCTACGATACCTGTGTTCAACCCGGTAGCTTTCAAATAGTATCTCCGTCGGAATTACTAGCTAATATATCTCATATCCACACAGGCAACCCCATTTCTGGGAGAGATACCTGGAGGCTTAACCATTGGGAAATGTATCTGCATTCGCGGTCAGGTTATCGGTGACGGAATGTGAGTGACTTATTGTGTTTCGAAATTGAATTCCACATTGCTATGAACACTCACTCTTCACTCGCCTTCTCCAATCGGGTGCGGCCGTGAATCCTCGCGATGACACACCGCTTCATATCAGTATCCGGCCGGGTGATAAAATAATCGTTCGCAATAGCTTCGTAGGCGGAGCCTGGCAGAAGGAGGAACGCGATGGCAAGTGTTCCGTCGGCACTTCGGGGGAAAGCTTCGAGTTGCAAATCAAAGTGAAGGAATCGTACTACACGCTCAAGGTCGATGGGAAAAAGTTTTGCAAATTCAAACATCGACTCCCGATCGATCAGACTCGATTCATTCACGTCTGTGAGGGCGGTGTGATAGAATCCATTACCGAGGAAGGTGGCTGATGATGTTTGAAATAGTTTATTACAGCTATCATTAATTTACCGGTTCTTTTTTTTTGTCAATTAAGTTAGATCGCTAGTATGAGTATAAAGTAATTACAAATATGAAAATAAAACATGCTCAACACATATAGAAATGACTCCCTGGTCGTATAAAATTTTGGAAAAATTGCCATGCAAACTATCGCCGAAAGAAAATTAAAAAAAAAAATCAACAGCACGACTGTTTTCAACAAACACAAAATTTTTGCTAACGGAAATATTTGAAATACAGAGTCCTATCGATTTTCTGTACCTACGATCGGCTAAGTATTAAACAAAATACCGGAGACAAGTTAGAATGCTTCCTCTGCACAATGGTGATGACTGTCTCTGATGATGGCTCAATTGTTATTGTTGGTAGTTGTTTTCCTCCGTTCAATTCTCACGCTGCTGTAGCATGCCTATGTTGCTATTTTATCACACACTCGTCTTCTTCAACCCCCAAACCCGCGAAGCGCCGATTATCTCCGCGCGTACGCCGAAACGTACTCCCGTACCTTGGCCTGGAATTTGTCCTTGTCCTTGGAGTACTGTTCCGCTGCTTCAATGTTGAGCGGATCGTCAAAGTTCAGGAGGTCCTGCAGAACAATTGAAACTTGTTAGATTGCGTATTATCGAGAGTAGGTAAATGGGGGAAACTTACGGTAAATAGCGAATTCAGTCCCCAGATGACGTCTTTTAACCGTCGTGTTGGGGCCCACCCGAGCCCGTCTATCGAGTTCAGTCTGAGCAGGGATAGGCAAATGTCGCCGTCGACGGAAATGTTCGGATGCCACAGCTTGGTAAGGCATTTCACCTTCGGGGGCTGCAAGTTTCAAGAAGAAGAAAATGAAGGTTGAGATTGTGCATGGGAAAATAAATCAATGACCATTGGGCCATCTTATACGATTGTCAGTGCAGTTTCTGATAGTCAGCATTGATTTAAGGCTCCCTGTGAGGTTATTCTTCTGCTTCTAGTTTATAATTTTGATTACAACAGTAAAACTGTACAAGTATTGAAAGTCCAACTGAAATACTATTGATTTTAAGCAGTAGTGACGAAACCATAGATTTTGAGATTTTGACAGACTTTCGTGCGGTATTGACAAAATTGTTTTTCACATAGTCACTGACAGACTTGATCCTCAAAAAACCTTGATCAAAATCTCATTATTTTTTTCGTCAATGACAAACACTCACTTTTTTTTTTTCTGTTGGGTACATTACCACTGCGACCATTTATTTGATCTATTGTAGTATGACACACTCACTTGGATTCAAATAGTGCAATTTCGAGCATTCTTTGTTACATTATTGATATCCAAGCAGTTCAGGACGTAGGCGCTTGTTCACTTTAATGGGTCCATGTAATTGTTTTGCTCAAGTAATTTAATTTCGTTACAAATTTAGTTATTAAAAATATCTACACGTGACAGCATTGTCACTGACAATTGACATGGTTTGCCTTGACGTTGACTGTTAGCTGAAATGAGTGATCAAAGCAGAATTGTGAATATCACCATTAGAGTGATGCAAAATTTGAAATTATCGCTCCACAATATTTAAACGATTCCAAACCGGATCCTGACTAACCTCTCAAAATTTGAACCCATTTGGTGAGAAACTGAGATGGCACAAACCATTTGAAGTTTGTATGGGAATTACTATGGTACATCCAAGATTTTTGTTCATGTCTATCTAATAATTCACCATATCGGTCTGCTTCAAAAACTTTCAACTGTGCTTGTAGGAAATTTTTCCAGCTACAACTTTGCTCAAGACCACTTTTTAATTAAATGCAAGGATCGAAAGTTATCTATGATCAATATCAATGATCATGCTCAATCAACTGCTCAGCAGGCAACATTAGTGTTTCTGGGGCGTTGAATAGGACACAATAATCAAGGCTACTATGTCACACTGCAAAATACAGTGTTGCCTACTGCTTGATCATGTCATAAGTTTACCAATCTCTTAAATAATTAATAACTTTTTCCTGTCTCGTTTTACATAGAAACGATCTTGAGCAGAGTTGTAGCTGAGAAAATTTTCTATAATAATGACTATTGAACTGTTTCGCAGCTCAATATGGAAAAAGACTAGAAGGCAATGAACAAAAAGTTGAGATTTCTCATAGTTATTTACATGTAAACTTCAACTGGCTTGTGCGAAGTCTGTTTCTAACCAAATGAGTTGTAACTTTGGGAGGCTAATCAGGACCCGATTTGAAATCATTTAAGCACTGTGGAGCGAAAAAGTCAAATTTTGCATCAGTCTAATCACCATGTATTGTCGAGATTTTGCAGCACTGCCTAAAACCAACAATCAATACGAAACTAACGATTTTAAATTGGTTCACTACTTGACTAGCCTATTGGTGTCAAGCAAATAGATTAACGTACCCCATTCTAGTATAAATTCCAATACTACACTATGTTTGTTTTGATTCGCTATGAAGTTTTGACAGATAAAATGAGGGGTTCGTGGATTTTTCTATGTTTCGAGGGGTGCATCTATTAGCTTGGGACCGAAGATAGTACCAGAGCTGAGCCAAAAAGTTGAGCTCGTTTCTTCGGGACCTTCTGGTCTTAGAGTTACCTCTTAGAGCAGTTCCAAGCCAAATAGCAAACATAATAATTTTTGACTCGACCTTCTCCGATTTGCATGAAATTTTGTATAATTGTTTGTTATGGACCATTCACATTTTTGAATAATCTACCATCTAGTATTTTTTTTCAAAATGGCGTCTTTGACATTATTCAATAGATTGTAGCACAAAAACGTCACTTCTGATCGAAATGACGTCTAGACAAAATTGTTGATAAAAGTTAAGTCTTTCTGGAACAAATAGACATGAAAAATTTTTAAAGTATTTTTTTTTAATTCCAAAAAAGTGTTAAAATCTCAAATGTTTCAAAAAATATATCAGCAGTTCCATTTCAAATGACGATATTTTTTTTTAATTTTTTGATCAACCTTCTACGATTATGTTGAAACTTTGCACAGTTGTTTGTTATTGTCCAACATGCCATTTTACATGTTTGGTTCCCTAGTTTTGTACACGACTAACACTTGAAAAGGGCTTATGCAAAAATGATACGCATCAATAGAAAAACATATATCTTGCGAACGATTTGTTTGATTGAGATGGTGTCTTCGAAGAAGTTGCGGACAAGTATTGTGCCTTTCAAGAAAAAATATACACTGTAAAAAATTATATTTTTTTTTTACAAAAAAAATCAAAATTATCAATAAATTAAAATTACTCAAATTGCATATTTTTTTAAAATTATTTTTTATATTTATTTTGTAGTTTAGATAAAGTAATACCTACCTGCTGGGCAAATCATAAACAAAAAAGTTATGAATTATTGAAAAAATTAGTATTTTCCAAAATACTACCAATAGTTATCGAATATATTTAAAATAGTGTTAATATTAAAACACATTAAATTTACAACAAAAAGCCCATAATGCTTATTACATTGCCCAAAGTTGTTATTTTCGAGATAATCGTAGGTTAAAATTCACTTATCGCGTATTTTAAGAAATTTTCGCCCTTTTGAGATGATTACTGTAATTTCCTTAAACTTTGCTGTTCGCAGTTTTTCAATCATACGCATGAGTTAAGATATAATTAATTATGAGTAAGATACGGTATGGGAAAAGTGTATTTTTCTGTTTGGCCCCATATACGGCTAGCTAGTTTAGTGGATTCAGTCATACTTGACCGGTAGGACACAAAGAGTTAGATTTGAAGGAGATTTGTCGTCAGTAGTCAATGTAACATCTGGTGTGCCACAAGGTTCCCATCTTGGACCATTACTGTTTATTCTATTTGTTAATGATGTAGAGCACATCTTGAATATTCTGAATGTCTCAATATATGCAGACGACATGAAACTTTTCCTGGAATTGTAGTATTTCAACAAGAAATTGATAACTTTTACACTTGGTGCTCCAAAAGTTTATTAAAGCTTAATGTGAAGAAATGTAATTCCATTTCATTTACAAGAAAGAAAATTATTAGACAAGAACATGTAACAATACGACAAAACAGAGTTAAAAGGTGCAATCAAGTTAGAGATTTGGGTGTTCTACTAGAATCAAAATTAAGCTTTGTTGAACATTATAATAACATTATCTACAATGCAAGCAACATGCTAGGGTTTATTAAAAGGTTTAGCTTTCATTTCAATGATCCATACCCAATCAAAACATTATATGTTGTATATGTTAGGCCCCTCCTTGAGTACTGTAGTATAGTCTGGGCTCCATATCAAGATACTCATATAAACCGAATTGAATCAGTTCAAAACCAGTTTCTATTATTTGCTCTAAGAAAGTTAGGCTGGACAAGTTTTCCCTTACCATCTTATGAGTCTCGATGTATATTGATCAATTTGGATGCACTTGAAAAGCGAAGGTAGTTTGCAATGATAGCTTTTATAAACGATCTTGTAGCACAACGAGTAAATGCCACAGAGATTTTAGAAAATCTAAATGTTTATGCTCCCACTCGTTCGTTAAGAAACAGAAATATGTTTTATATTAACAACCAAAGAACAAACTATGCCAGGAACGCGCCTTTAAATAGAGTGATGTCTTGTTATAATGAACATTATGAAACAATTGATTTGACAATGAACAGAAATGCTCTTAAAAAACGTGTCTTTTCGAGGTTAGTTAAAGATTGAAAATTAAAATAGATGTTAAGTGTTTTTGTAAATTAAACTGGTCTACATATTGACGACGAATAAATAAATAAATTATGGTAAAGCCAAGCATTATCTAATTTCATTGTATTTTTGTCTTTATACGAGATGGTACATGTCAGCTAATCTCGAACATTACCAATCTATCACTGACAACATTTTTAATCGGACGACTCTTCCCAGAGACTTATTCCTCTCATTGGCCGTTCCAGCACATTGTGAATTCTTCAAACAGGTGTCTTCCTAAGTAGCACAATTCTGCCCCAAAAAGTTGCAGCAACTTGTTTATAACTGAAATAAGTCGTATATAAGTTTCCAAGACCAATTAATAACCACGGTAAGAAAAAAGTACGTTATGTGTCCAATGAAATCTATATGATTTCTCATATAGAATTTCTTATGCTATGTGATATTCAGGTAAAAATCATTGTTTTTGTTTTTGGAAAAATACTATGTGCGTTCCTAATAGAACCTAAGTGAAAACTTTTTTCAGTGTACTTTTGACTAGTTTGTCTCTTTTTCTCCTTCTAATGTTGTTAAAAACGGAGGAGCAAAACCACCCAACAGGGGTAGTAAAGTGTGGGAACCCAACGTTGAGTATAATCATATTCACCTACTGTTGGGAACAACTAACTTACTTTTGGTTAAAAAGCCAGTGGAAAATTCCATACGAACTGCACACAAGTAAATGAAAATTACTTTGACCCGCTTTACCTACTTTTGGGTTCCTGCACTATAGTGCCGAGATGAGTGAAAAGAACTTAATTCTGAGTACTTTTTTCTAACCGTGTAGGGTTACACCATAGCGACAGAATGTTGTGTCAGTGGCTGTCCAAGCACACTGTCAATTCTCGCGTCACTTTTCAAATAGACCAATGTAACATTATGTAAACAAATCGAGTTAAGTGATACAAACTATTGCTCTTCTATCATTGTATGTGATACAAAAACATCCATCCAAATTTACTTTCATTTATTTAAGATAATCATTGATCAAAAATTGTCCAATGTACAGTTTGAAATGATGGGTACATGATTGTTACTTCGGTCATTCGGACTGCCTAACATGATTGGTGTTCATTTTCCAAAGGCGGGGCCAATCTAAAGTTAG